ACTTATTCCCAGATGTGTATTTGAACCATTGGACTCGAACGCAGGCAAAACGTCCCCAAATTGCAGGTCTCAAATACAAGTTTGGCATTGAGTACTGAACTTCAAATAAACATGACATCCTTTCAAAGAATGAAAGAAAAAAGGGGGGGAAAAGAGAAAGTAATAGCAGTGTTTCCCTAAATTTACTTTGACTCACACTTCCCTACATTTAGGTTAATAATCGAGTGATTACAAGAACAATCCCCATTTTGCTTTCACTCTCTTTTCTCACAAATGCATTTTCATTACTTAGATGCAATCATTTGGTAATGACTTCCAGATTCCCATTTTCCTCTTTGAGCTGATGGGATGTGTGGAGTTATAGCAGAACAGTAAGATCTCTTACTGGAAATTTATGAGAGCCTAAGAACTGTGAGAATTATGAGTTCTTTTTACAGAAGACTTGTGCAAGAGTGACTAAGAAATCTACAGGGAGCAGCAATGTAAAACCTACAACAACAAAAAAGATTGTAGGTATGGACAGCTAATGCAAGAACTAAGAGGAGTGTTGTGTGAGAGAGTGAACAAAGTGAGAGTGAGATCTCTTCAGCGGAGAGGAAAGGAGGAGGAGCTTTGGCCTTGGGTCCCTGGGCACAGAAGGTGCTGCAGCATAGCTGAAGCTTCAGTGCCGATACAAACTCATCCTGCATTTTAGTTGCTCAGGGACGTAAAATGTAGGTAAAGGTTTGAGTTTTTGAGTACTGTAAAGTACATACATCACAACAAGGCATCCTGCAGAAGTGTTGGAGAGTAGATAGCACAATATTTCATGGCTTCCATTTTTCATTTATATCGCTCCATGGTTTTACTTCCTTACAGTTTAAAAGTTTCATATTATACTTTTCATTTTGATGCTTTGACAGTTACAGTTTCATGACACAAAAAAGAAACCTGCTTTTATGTACCCACGGAACATTTAATAACTACAATTTAAAAAAAATCCACCCCTTGACCAGTAATTTAAAAGTTTGAGTAATCAAAAACTGGACTACACGATATTTTCTCCATTTGCAAAGGAGGATGGTAAACATGCCACACAGAAAAACAGGAACATGAGCACCACGCAGGGTTTTATTGTCTTTTTTGGTTGTTACAGTACAGGTCACTGCTCACCGCTGTTCTTCTTTCAGTAGTCATTTTCACACATGCACAGCAGCCTTAACCCTCTCTAGACTTCAGACTATATCCAAAAAGATGCGTTCATCTTCCAGATCTGACAATTGAAGCCAACCGGAGACATTATAACCAGAATTCTGAATGTAAATCTACAGAAAAAAAATCCCCAAATGCTAAAAACTGACGATTGTCACACTCCTGTCACCAAGGAGCAAATAAACTGCTGGAACAGGAAACTTATTAGTCGACCATGTTGTTTGCACTAATACGTGCATGCAGCAGAGATTTGCAGAGACTTCAGAAGTTGTAACTGTACTTCATACCTTCTCTTGGCATACCATATACATAGGATGAATTAGGATGGCAGTCTGCTCTGCTGGAATGAGCCAAACATATTGATTGTGGTTGCACTCCTAACTGGCCTGTGTGTACCTTTGCAAATATGTAGTAGAAGTAGTGTACTTGTGGAGGAAATATGAGCCTTTTAAAGCTTACTTTGGCCCACGTTGCCAAACTTGATGGATTTGAGAAGCAGTTCATGCAGTTTCTATCCATTTATTTAGATAGTGGTTTTATAATACAGACAACAAAGTGGTTCACAGGAGGCCTCCTTGTGACAGTCTTATGAACATTAATTGTCCTTGGTTCTTCATCAAGAGGGCAGCAATGAAAATGCTCCAGTCAAGTCATCTTTTATAAACAGTCAGTGTTTTCGGACATTAGGGGAACATGCTTTATGTGACCGGGCAAAATGTAGGAACATCAACAGCGCCGTGAGTCCTGACTCCTGCACGCTGTGCTGAGGCAGCATCCTCACCTAAACCAGAGGGACTACTTCCAGGAATGAAACTGTTGTGTGCTGCGTGTAAAAATGAGGAATTGCGAGCAATGTCAAGGCCCGAGTTCACCAACAAAGATGTTTGAAAGGTATGGAAAACTTGCATATATTGTTCATTATTCAAAGTGCATTGCTTTATGAGCCACAGGTAATAAATCTATTTGGTATTTGAGCAAAGAAACACGGAGATAAATTCGATTTATGAAAAAGGCAACAAACGTATGTGGTTTTAAACAACAACTTCATTGTTTTAACACCTAATTTGAAAGCAACAAATCCGTCAAGTGGAGGGGAGAATGTGCTGCATGCTGGTTTTTGATATAACAGAAAAAAAAATCACTGAATCATACACCGAGGGTCGGTGCAGTTAGAAAGAATGTTCCAGAAGAGAATTTCCTGCTCATTATTGACTCCAGGTTTCATCGCTGGCAACCTGACTCTGTCTGTACACCGAAAACTTTAAACATTTGAGGTGAGTTAGTGTGACGCAGCTACAGTTTCCTTCAAAAACCATCTAAAATTCAGTTCTGAGATGTTTTCACTTCTGCTGAACCAGAGTTCATTCGAGGGTATGAAAACTTGGCATGAAATGGAGTTCTGCCATATACTTACTTTCTTCCACAGATTTAAGTTACCCGGACAGGTGAAAGCCACGGCTAGTTGGCAACCACATAAGCTTAAAACTAGGCTCGCAAGGATGACACATGATGTATGTATGTGTGTTTTTTAATATCTCTCACTTTGATGTGTTTTCAAACACTGCTGGCACACTAAATTGGAGCAGAAATATTGATCACATCTTCCTCTTCAAAGCTTTCCCATTGTTTGTCTTATGGCAAGAGTAAAACTCTAAGAACCAGAGCATAATGTTATGTAACAATAGTAATATTAAAAAAAATGACAGATTAACAGGCTACATAGAGACACATGCACTGAAATGGAGCTCAAACACATGTGCTGGTAATTTCCCAGCTTACTTAAACATGATTAAAGAGGAAAACATAAAATTGCCTCTTTAAGGAAATAAATTCAGCCATAAAAACAAAGGAATTCACTAATGGTAGAGGTTAATGTTCAAATGCTATCTTTGTTCAGCGAAAGGTTAGAGTTTAGTTTGATGAACCTGAGAAATGGGCAGAGACTTGATGGTTTATACTTACTTGCCAAACTATCATCTTATCTCACCCTTGCGCCTCGGCTTAATGGAGCTGACGAAGTGCCTTAACCTTATAAATACTGTGTGCTCAGCGAGGAGGTTCTTGTTTTAAGGCCATTATGACACCTCTGGATTTCATGTTATGTTTACCTTTTTGAACGATCAACAGTATTTGAATGCATTTTACCTCAACAGGGTTTGTTCACGGATCTGGAATCCTGTGTTACGTGCTCCTGTTTTTCCCATTTATCCCGCTAACTCCGCAAGGGTCTCGTGTTGATTTATCAGAGTGTTAAGGGTTTCAATGTTTATGCCTCGCACCTTGGATGACACCATCTGGTAATAATCTGTGTTTCCGTTGTTGTCTGCACAACGCAGCCCAGAGCTGCTCAGGACAGAGTCAAGTAAAGACGCTAATTGCTTGTCTGTCTTCCTGTGTGGCTCCATCGGGATATTTCACCAATATTTATTAGTGACTTTAAACCTTATCTCTCATGGTCATTATTTACAGTTACCTTGAATGTTGCAGTCAGAAGGGGTTAGGCTGGGACATGCGCTGCACCGTTCAAAATAGAATCTGTAATTTGTGGACCACAAAAGGAGAAGCAGAGCGCAGCGACTACACAGCATGTTATATCTGATGCATGAACTAATGTATGTACTCAGGGCCTCATACTAGATGGTTTTCAGGAAGGGTGTTGTCAAAGTCAAAAATGTTCTTGACTTGGCTGAGTGACAGATTTAATGTGAACTGGACTTCGAACAGCCATAGCTTGTTGTTTTACACAAACGACGTAAAGTACCGTACACGGGTCATCAAAAACAAGCCTTCTAGCATTGACACCATTAGCAATAATCTTCTCTCTTTTCCCTCCCCCATGTTAATGAGCATTGATTGGTTCACTTTGATAAGACTTCAGAGTTTGTCAATGTGGTGGGGTGACTCACAAATAGGTTACGCCGTGCTAGTCTGAGGTCTCCCTTAGAGGAAGGATGAGAAGTTTGGCCATTTTGGAGAGTGTCAGATCAGAGCTGCAACTCCTCCACATGGAAAGGAGCCAGTTGAGATGGTTTGGGCATCTGTCAGATGACTCCTGGGCACCTCGTGTTTCAAGTGTTTCAATCATGTCCTAGCAGAAGGAGACCAAGGACACGCTGGTGAAGTTACGACTGTTGACTAGCTTGGGAACACCTTGGTGTTCTGGGTGTCCCACCAGAACTGCTGGTGAGATAGCCGGGAGAAGTGAGGTCTAGGCATTTCTGCTTAGGCTGTTGCCATGGTGATCTGGACCCACATAAGTAGGAAAAATGGATGTATGGATGTTGTCCCCACAGGCTAAAAAGCAATGGAAGCAACATGCTGGTCCAAGTATAGCCAATCCATAAGTGTCATGAACCTGCTTGTCCTTATAATGGTCAACAGCAGGTGAAAAAGAGGTCTACTTGAAAAGAATTGTATGAGAAACTGACCCTACTTCTTGCTTGATTTATCTCCTCAGTAAATATTTTCCCAGTGAGTTGTTGATCTAAATTGCGAGTTGCGGGTCTTATTTAATAGAGAATTATGTTCATTTTGTAAATTATAATCACACAGAGTAAACTACAAGATAAATTGGGTTATGTTTCCAGACGTAGCTATTTGTGATTCCCAAATTGCTTCCGTATGAGAATCCTCTGTTGCTGGCTTCTCAGTCTGAGCCACCTCTGGTTTCAAGAAGATGCCAAAATGCCATTGTCAGGTGGAACAAACTAAGATGGAAGTAGCTAGCATAATGCATAAAGGTCATGTTAGCTACTTCCATCTTTTATGTACAGCTTATGGTTGTATGGTTGCTTCCACTGTAGCACACTGATGCTCGATGACTGATACCATCATTAGTGTCTGAACATTTGAAGACTCTCATTAAATAGATTGCGTATGAGCTGAATCTCAGTTATTTTTCCTGTAATTTACGTATAGAATATAAATCATTACAGATATCATCAGTTTGGATTTCTTTGGCACAATTTATAGAACATTATACGTTGTTCCGTTAGCTTTGCTTTTACTGGAATGAACTGAGAGAGCAGAACAGCAGTTTTTGACACGTGTCCACTCCCTTAGCTTTGAACTCTTGAGAACAAAAGAGCAGAAATCCTCACGAGTCTGTAGATCATCAGTAAAGTTCACGTGCCTCATTATGACCCAAGGGAAATGTGTTCAGAGTGCTGATGAGACTGTGACCAGCGAGCCAAAAGACCACCAAACCACATAGCGGGGAACGACACCTACACATTTGTATATTATGCTGAGGGCTCTGCATGTCTTCCTCCAGCGTTACACCATGTTCAGTGCTGTCATATCCAGCATCTAATAATTCCAAAGCTGGAGACAAAGTTCTTCTTTCTGTCAGTTTCAATGACAAAAGACTGTGAGAGATTGAATGTTGGACACTCATAATGTTTGGGTGTGGATATTATTGAAGTCCTTTTTATTTTCAAGTGTACTTCATTCTTTAGTGGTGAGCTCGATGAAGGGAGTGGACCCAAAATGACCTCACACAGACAAAGGATTTGCACATATGGCAATATATTACTTTGTTTTGAGAGCACATGCTCACTGAATTCAGGTTAATTAATTCAAGGAAAGACACTGAATACACACATTCCAGGACGAAAATAGAGAAAGAACATGGCTGCGTAAATTTACCCCAAAGACAATTTATCGTTCTGCTCCGATAAAAAGTGTCTCCTACTTGCAGGAACACTAAAGCTCACCGTGACAGGGAAAATGCAGCGTTGCCAGTACATACCTATCTTTGTGGCATAAACACACGCACCTACACACACACACACACACACACAGTACATACATAATGTAATGCATGACAAAGCAAGAGGTACCACCCTATAAATCCTATCCATATCTGGCAGCTGATACTGTGCAACTTCAAAGCTATACTTCATGATCTAGCTGAGGATCGCACTGCACATCCTCACAGACAGCTTGCCTTGGTATCAATTAAAGTAAGCAGTCCAAAAAGGGCAGAGTAAATCAAATACAGAATACTGGACAGGGGACAAGACACAGATGAGCAGTTTTTGGAAAACAGTCTGAGGAAGTTAAGACTGAGCATACTATCAGTGGATTTAGCGCCATCACATAATGCGTCAACTCTGATATCTTTTCCTATTGGACAGGGGATGAGTGATGCTTGAAATTATGTCCCCCTGCAGATGGGGGATGAGCATTCCTCCTTTCTGTCTGAAGACTGAGTTAAGGCTTATAATATGGTGGAGGTGACAGGAGCAGCAGAGCAGGAGATAGTAACTGTTTTTCCAAAGAAAATTAAACATCACCAGGAAACGTTACTTAGCAATAAACTGTGGTATTAAACTTGAGATAGAAAGAATATCTTAATGTTGAACCTAAGAGGACATGCGATATAGGATTGATGACTTTGTGACTTCAAAAATTATTTTTGATTTTATTTCCAAATCAATGTAAGAGAAAACATATTAATCTGTCACCTTGTTTGGAGATATAAGAATGACACAAAAGAATAGAGACTTAGTGGCCTCTGGCTGGGCCATTTAAGGACATTCGCAGAGTGGTCCTGAAGCCACTACTTTGTTATATTGACTGTGTGCTTAGGTTTGTTGTCCTGTTTGGAGCTGAACCTTCAGCCAAGTCTGAGGTCCAGAGCGCTCTGGAGCAGGTTATCATCAAGGATGTCTCTGTACCACCATGCTCTGCTGTAGGGATGGTATTGGCCAAGGGATCAGTAGTGGCTGGTTTCCTCTTGACATGATGTTTGGCATTCAAGCCGAAGGGTTTAATCTTTGTTTCAGAGAATTTTGTTTCTCTGGTCTGAGAGTCCTTAGGGTGCTTTTGGGCAGACTTTTTGGCTGTCACGTGCCTTTTACTGAGGTGGGGCTTTTGTTTGGCTGTTCTGCCACACAGGTCTGATTACTGGAGTGCTGCAGAAATGGTTGTCCTTCTGGACCTTTTCCTCTGTCTACAGAAAATTCCTTAAACGTCATGGCTTGGTTAGTGCTCTGACATGCACTGTCAACTATGGGACCTTATGTAGACAGGTGCGTACCTTCATGTCGAATCAAATTAATTTACCACAGGTGGACTCCAATCAAGCTGATCAGCAGAAACAGGATGCCCCTGAGTTCAGTTCAGAGTGTCATGGCAAAGGCTCAGAATATACATGTTATATTTTAATTTATTATTTTTAATAGATTTAAATTGTTTTGTAGAATTTTGAGGTGAAGAATGAATTGAATCTATTTTGGCACAAGACTGTAACATCACAAATGTGTTTTAAAAAAGCTCACAGAAAATAAACTGGAATCTTGCATCAAATGGGAAACCTTAGAAATTTAAGCTTGCCAGCGTTTTTGTAAATAGTGTTGTTGCAAACCAATTTTTCAACAAATTCAACAATTTTTGAACAAATTTCACATTGAGCCTTTATATCCTCTACTATGTATTAGAGTACCTGACAGTTTGTTGTGACTAAGGTAGAAAGGACTAAACATCCAGCACAAACAATGGAGATGGGTGCATCAGTATGAACAGTAGGAGCATCTGTGTGTCTGGCAGCCAAAGTGGTTGCACCCAGTTGATGTCATAGCTCTACGTGCTGATATGCTAAGTGGAGGTCACAGCCAGCGATATAAGAAGTACATCTGTTCCACATACTGAACAAACTAAACGTTATGCTTGACCATCCAGAATGTGCAACAGATGTGAAAAACTGCTAATAATAATTGTTTTTGGCAAATTTAGTGATATTATGTTTAATTGACTAAATCGTGCATCACAAAAATGCAGCTAAATGAGTTCAAAGAAAGCAGCGCGCTCCCTTTAAATGAGAAATGCGCTGGAAGCATGGGCAGGAAGTTTAACAAAGACAAATGATCTGAAATGGCTGGTTTCTACTGACAATTTTAAGCACCGAGGAAGAACACACAAGAGCACATTTTTATATAACTCTACCTGTTTTTCATTAAACCAAGAGCAAAAAAAGAAAACGTTTAAATTCTTCTTTCCCAATGAAAATCCCACTTGGAACTGCATTAATAAAACCTGCATGGGCTCTGCAGGGGCCAGCTGTAATTACACAGTCTTGTTGAGGACACTGTGCATGGCAGCGCTGGTGTCACAGGACAAAGAAGAGCCACTGCTAGACTTAAACAGCCTGAGCTTCCCATCCAGGGTCCCAGTTAGCAGCTGTGAAGAAAAGAGAAAAAGCATGACATCATATTACGCTTTTATTTTTGCACACTTTTTTTCTAAAACCGTGTCAGACATCACTCTTCTTTTTACCACCTCTCTATTTAGAATACAGAGTTTCATAACGGCACACCTAGATCCCCGAAGAAGAAGAGCACCACTGAGGTCAAGACCATTCTGTGTTCCCCACCAAAATTCTCGATTTTCCATACTTGCCATTTATCCCCCCCCCCAAAAAAAACATCATGTTGCCAGGCCTTAACTCTGTTATATAACTTTGTTTATTCAAACAAGGAGATTGAGGTTCCTGCCAGCAATACTCTCAGTGAGTCAAACATTTGGAGATTAATAAGGCACCCACACAACAACACAACAATAAACTAGCATTAATCCACACCCTGTAGGCAAACACACACGCACACACTACACACTTAATGACATGTGCAGGCTGCACACAGACAAGCACAAATACAGACGATCAATGCTTGACTACAATTTTTAGTGAGACGTACACAGTGAATCATATGTCTCTATCAGCCAAGAGAGCAGATGAGGCTGAGGAAGCATTACCTCAGCACTCTGACAGTCCGTCAGAAGCAGTGGGAAACCCTCTATGTGGGCTTTGCAGTGAGACCTATAGCACATTTTTACATGTGCAATTGTTCAGAATTTAAAAGTATACCATATTATGGAAAAATAACTCAAGATAACTCACAAACAGCTGTTATAACCTCTATTTCATGCCACTTCAACCCAAGTTTATTTTTACCACCCAGTCTTAAAGGACAAGTGAGCATAGTCTTTATATAAAGTCACGGCCTCCGGGGCCTGAAAAGTGAAAGTGAATGCTAAGGTGCCTGACGCCTCTGGCTTGACAAAAAGAAAAGAAAAGAAAGAGATCTTGTTGTATAGAAGTCAGGGGTAAAACAAACCTTAGGCTCACATTGACCTTTCACCCTCAGTAAACATCTACATGATGAGTTGATGTTCTTAATTGTTCAGTTCTCTTTCATTTTTTTAGTTCAGTTCTTTCTGACCTTGGTGTTAATTTAGTAAATTATGGTGTCCTCTAAAGTCTTAAAGGGCAATAAGATAATAATGACTCATATGTGATTGACAAATAGCTACCAGTGAGCGTGTCCAGTAAGATCCACCAGTTACTTTCCATGTTTCAAAAACCTCAATGATGACACTAAAAACATTGGTTAGGTCCACCCCTAACCAATGGATGATGTCACAGTATGTCCATCTTCTATATGACACCTTTGTAGGTAAGTGGAGAAAAACAAAGAACCAATCAAAAAAACCCAACATTTTACAAAATGGGAATACTCCATCAGGGAGTTTTACCTATGGTAATTATCTAGACCAGAGGTGGCTGTAAAGACAGCATCTTTTTTAAAAGCATGATAACATCAGGAATCTTGGCAAACAATGATTTGCCAAGTTGTGATAAAAAACACATTTGGTACAACAATGGTCCAACATTTTTTCCCTTGTACTAAAAAGGTTTTATGCGGGAGAAATAATCCTTTACCAGCAAGCAGATGCCTGTGCTGGGAAAGGGAGTCACAATAGCTGAGGTCTGAGGATGACTCAAACACACTAAACTGGGCTGGATGCATTCTTCCTTTGAAGGGTGAAAGTTGCAGTTTCTCTTCTATAGACACATTAAAGAATTCCTGGCGAGTGTGAATCCCAGAGACAAGTTAACTTCCTCATAAAGGCAACCCAGTGAGCACAAACATATTACATCTAAATATGCATAGTATGTGATCGTGAGTCTTTGTACACCATGACGTCCACCTCAATGACCTTAATCAACAACAGCCAGGCTGTCTGGTTCTTGCTCCGAGGCAGCTGAAAAGCCTAAAACAGGGATGTCAAACATAAGTCCCGGGGGCCAGAATCAGCCCAGGAAAGACTCCAATCTGGCCCACTGGAAGGCTTCGGAAAATGTGAACTGTATTTTTATAGGTTTTATAGCTTTTCAAAATTAAAAATTAAAAAATTTACTTTAAAAATTTAATTTAAAATTTGGTAGAAAAACCAATTAAAAAAAAAAAAAAAAAAAAAAACCTCCACCATGGCCATTCATATTGCACCAAAGTAAAGCAAAAAAAAGAAAGAAGAATTCCTGATTTTCATTTTTTGTTCACAACTGTAGACATTTCCAACTTTTCCAGTTGGGTCACAGTTAACAGTTAAAGTTAAAAAAGTCAGTTAACAACTTTCTACTTTATTATTACAGGACTTAACTGAGGAATGAACAACTAGAACATTTACTGCCATTTTACACATTTATTTCTGACATATTTCTTTAATATTGCAGATTTGTGGCACAATTAGGCAAGATTTTGTAATTATATAGAAAAACTGAGACTTATTGTTAAAATTGCACTTCATTTTAATTTTCTTAGGGATTAAATGTGTAGTTAGGTTTCTTTACACTAACAGAAAGGGGAGTTATACTGGTCCAGCCCACTTAAGAGCTAAGTGGGCTGTATACAGTCCACAATGTAAAATGAGTTTGACATCCTTGACCTAAAACTTATGAGAGTTAGACGACAGCTACAGTAGCAACCATGGTTTTGGATCAACTCTGATCCAAAACCACTGTTACTGTGATAATACACCAATGTAAGCATGTAGTGTTAAGAGATAAACACAGAAAAGTCCAAAGGAATCCAACACATTACATCTTTGCAACCTTAAACTTTTATTTTGCCCCAAACAAGCCCACATAATAAGGGTAGCTGAAGGTTTTATGTGACCTTTGGTATCAGATGTTTTTGTTAAAAATACTGACTTACTATAGAAACACAGAAAGGAGTCATTGTGGGTCATGACAGGTTTGGCTGACATTACAGCTTCATTTTCAAGACAGACACAGTTTTCATCAAGTTTGATTTCTGTGGAATTTTAGATAACCTTACGCACATAACCTGAGGCTCCATTTGAGAGTTTTGTTCATTTGTTTTGAGGTTTGGTTGAACAAAGTCCAAGTCCAAACTTTTTAGGAATTCTGAGTAAGATCAGAAAATCCATTGCATGGTTTGTCACGCATGTTGCATAATTTATTGTTAGCAACTGGCTCAACACCACGGAAAAGAAACCACAAATCAACAGTTCAAAGCCAGAATAAAAATGCCGATTGAGAAAGCAATGTGGATTAGATTTTCAATGGTGAGTCAAATTTTGGCACTCTGGATGACAGAAAGTATATGTCTATAGAAACCGGTATGAACAAATGCTAAGGATTTGATAATATGGCGAACAATGTGTTTTCCCCTCCCAGAGGATGCCATTCATCAGCTGTGGAGCACAAATTTCACAAACGCCAACATAGCAAGATGTTCTGTAGTGACCATGCTGAGAGTTGAAGGAGGATCCAGATGACAGATGGAAAAAGGGGCAGATGGTCACAACGGTTATCTCAGTCTTGACTTTACATAGACATGGGATCAATAAAAGAAATGTATAGCCTGTTGCTCGTGGTGATAAATAGTTGGTAACTTATGGATATATTCACACTCAGAACCTTTTAGACATTAGACAACAGACAATACCATCTGGGTGAATATAAGAAAGTAGTTATATAAAATATAATGTTTTATATCCTCCGCTTACCCTTATATTTTTTAAATGTAAATCTTTATATCTGTGTATCTTTAAAACATTAAAATTGCATAAAATGAGAAAATAGAAAAAATTGAGAAATCTGATTGTACTCACAGATCTGAACTTAACATTTTGAGTACTGGGACAAAGGAAGTTCACCATTATTACCTAAGACCACAGCCAACTGAAGAAGTTCTGTCTAATGCATGTGAAAGGTTTCGATACTTAAAAATGTCTCTTGTGACTTTGAAACTTCCTGTTCATTGCAGTTCCAGCTGTGCTGAACGCAGGCCAGGCTGTCTCAGCTCAGTCTGTGTCTCACTGTAATGTGACATTCTGGAGTAGACAGCAGTCCACCTCTGTATTTATTCTCTGGCTGTGACAGTACGAAGGGGGTAATGTCTGAGGTCAAGAGGAAACATATCCATCCATCCATCCATCCATCCATCCATCCATCCATCCATCCATCCATCCATCCATCCATCCATCCATCCATCCATCCGTAATCAGCCAATCAAATGGGCAGCTCAATGGGCAAGTAGAAACAACACAACATTAAAGTTGACTTGAACATGTCTACTTGAATGAGGCATGGTTGTTGGTGCCAGAAGCTTTGGTCTGAGTATTTGAGAAACTGCTGAATACCACACCCAGACCGCACTTGTGTCAGCTAACAATAGGAAGCTGAGGCGACACACAGGCTCACAAAAACTGGGGAACTGGAGACTGTAAAAATGTTGCTTCCTCAATTTATGCTGCAAGGTTTGAATGGTTGGGTCAAAATTTGAAGTAAAGAACATGAAAGGAGGGCTCCATTCCACCTGTGTCATCCCTTTTATGCTCTCAGTGTACTCGTCTTCTGATGGCTGCTTCCAGCAGGATTATGCACCATATCACGAAGCTTCAAACAAACTTCATCCAACAGAGTACCTTTGGAATGTGACAGAATGGGAGATTTGCATTTGGATATGCAGCTGGCAAATCTACAGCAACTGTGCTATCGTGTCAATCTCCCAGGAAAGTTTCCAGCATCTTGTTTAATCTGCCTGCAGTAGTTCTAACAGCAAAATAATGGTCAACCCACTGCTAGAAGAGTGTGCCTAATAAAGTGGCTGTGAGTGTACAATGTACATGAATCAAAGTGTTGCACTGACATCATTGGTATTCGTGATACACCAAAATTACTCATATATTGGTTTGTGTGGTGCTGTTAGGTAAAATAGGTAGTAACAACCAATGATTTTTACTGTTAAATAACCTAAAAACCATTGTAAACTAATAAAATAATAATGTAACAACATCAGAAAGTGCATCTTATTTCACTGGAGTCCTCAAATGTGCTACTTTTTCCAACCAGCAGTTGCAACCACGAAGAT